CACACACACACAACACACACACACACACACACACACACACATACACACACACACACACACACACACATACACACACACAACACACACAACACACACATACACATACACACACACATACAGACACATCATCCCACTTCCCCAATCTCACGAAAAGAAACGCAGCGTATGAGATGTTGCAAAGTGAAGCTGACTTTTTCTACAAGGGAAAATAGCCTGCAATGTTTACCTGATCGTACATGTTCATCTGATCTGTGACAATGAATCGTCAATGGTCTACTATAGTGGGGTTAAATTTTGTGAACATGAAACTTTGTGACTTTGCTTTTAATGCTTTATGAATTCCTTAACAAGAGTCGCGCTTTTCAAACCAATTCAGATGTAAATTCACTGGTCAAGTATGACTCCCCTGGCTACCGAACACCGACTAACATCTTTGGACGTTTGCAAGCTGGTCAGTCAGAAAGCGTAGTGGTTAGAAGTACTATTTGTGGCCTTAGAAAGGAGCTCGCTCAGTAGCAGACTGGTTGTCCAGTGGAAGACGCCGAGTCACAACACCTGTCACAGGCTGCTTCATACGGCTCCGTCACTGGAGAATCCGTTAGTATCTTCCTCATCCACAGTCCAGTCAATGCCAGCGATTTGTTGCTTTTCAGTTCATGCGAGAGTAGTCCCAACCAGCTGCATGACGCCAGTCTTTTAGGCTTAAAGACCCTGCAGAGATCTTGTTCTTGCCGATCGGCATTTGCCAGAACTGATTTATTAGGCAAACTAATAGACTGCGCGAATTAATGCAGAAGGGTTCGTTTTATGAGAAATCATTCTTTGTGCTCCAGGATCTTGATAGACGGAGAAAAGTTTACCTTAGATTCCATGAGTGCTACCCATGACGGTGGGGATGGGGCTCCTCGACATACTTGTGAAGGTGTACTAAATGTACAAGGGGAAGAAACGATCTTTCGTTTTCAATGTGTACTAAATGTACAAGGGAAAAAACGATCTTTCGTTTTCAATGTGTACTAAATGTACAAGGTAAAAAGCGATCTTTCGTTTTCCAGGTGTACTAAATGTACAAGGGGAAAAACGATCTTTCGTTTTCAATGTGTACTAAATGTACAAGGGAAAAAGCGATCTTTCGTTTTCAAGATGGTGACTAAAGGCGCTTTTTTCGATGCTGCGATTTTTCTTGGATTGTTCTGCTCTCTTGCCATTGATTTCTATTTTTTTGCGCGTGCCCAATGCAGGATGCACTCTTTTTGTCATGACAGCAGCATGCATCCAACACACGAGAAGACTGAATCTCGTCAGCCGGGGACTTTTTTCAATTTGAAGGAATCGACGCATATGGTTAACTCAATGGCCACAGGAAGAAGTAAACTAGTGAAGACTGGAGAACACATGAGTGGCCGACGACAGGTCGCTGAAATTCGTTGACCCATGCCTATTCACTTTTGGCTGCACGAGGATCTTCTGCAGAATAACGCTAGACCTCATGTGGCACAACTTTCGCACCCAGTTCTTCGCTAAAAACAATATCTAGAACATTTCGTGACCAGGCAGGTCATCAGACATGAGCCAGATAGAAGGCTTTTTGGATGAACCCTACAAACGAGTCTGTCAGCGAGACGTCGCTCCAGGCAATCTCAGAAACTTGTCTCTTGCACTCAGAGACGAGTGGGAAACCATCGCACGACATCATGTCCAACAACACATCAGCTCAATGTCACAGAGTTGCCGTTCTCTAACAGAGATCAGAGACGGCGATGCACCGTACAGAAACAGAGGTCATATTTGCAAAGAATAAAAGTACGAATCAAATATCATGAACATCGTTACATTTTTCAAATCATTTCTTCGAGTCAAGATTGAAACAAAAATAGTCCGTCAAAAATTGCCGTACAAGTTTGAGGTTGAATGTCCATTTCAACTGCAAAAGTGTTGCTTTTCCTTTTGTCTATAGTAGTCTACTTACTTTGTTCCACGACCCCAGCCTCGGACACGGCTGCCACAGCCAGCAGTAGAACCATCACGTGCAGCACAAACATCTCTGATTGGTCGCTGAGAGTAGATCAAACTTCAGTCAACACTCGCTCAACAACTTCTACCACTGGCTGTTTTGTTGCAGTTTATATACTGTTTCCTTGCCAGCTGCGTTTCCTGGACTGATTATTTATCTATTATATATTCCCAAACTTTTTTTTGAGTCGCAACTCCATTTTCTAGAAACAAAGTGACCCCCCACACCCCTCCCACAACCACACAATACTTTAACAAACAGGCTTTTAAATAGGGTCAACGAAAAGACTTCAAAAAAAGATTTTTCAGTATAATACAATTAAAAAAAATTACTACAGATTAATACTATATGTGGAGGGAAAAGCCCGACCAGCAAATTTGCGTCCAGTAGTTTGCCATTGCTTTCTGGGCGGTCGGCTTTCTTGATACCACTGTCGAAACCAACGTAAGGTGCATGGCCCGCAGCTGGGATCGAACCCAGCATCCCAACATTACGAAGCGTTCGCATCGACTTAGCCACAGAGCCGACCTGACAATTAGGTCATGAAACTAATTCCATAAAAAAAAAAAAAAAAATAAAAAGTTGAAGATATAACCTGTATTTTATTCAAAGTAAGCCCCTTGTGCATTGATACAGCGGGTGACACGATCTAACTAACGCTAGAACGACCTCTGTTGTTCTTCTGTTTTTATGGCCCTTAAAGTCAATGTTACGACCTTTGGATGTCATCAATATTTTGTAAAGAAGCGTCCTTTCAACGGAAACTTTAATTTTGGAAATAGAAAATTAGTCACAAATTGGGGGAACTGGGTGGATGGTTGAGAACACGCATCAGTTTTGGGGCCAGTAATTCCTTTAGAACTACCGCCCTTTGAGCTCGTGCATTGACATGAAGAAGGGGAAAAAAATGGCCAGGTGTCGAATACAAACCAACAAGCAATAATTTTCTTGCCCAAATCTTCCACTAAAATGTTACGAATAGTTTCTGTATTAAACCAAATTCATCTACCATCATCCTCACAGTCGAACAAACCATCTTCTTGTATCCGTTCTCGGAATTTTGCAATGAGTTTCTCATTACGAACATAAATTGGGCGTCCAGGTTTAGTTACATTAGTAATCATTTCCATACCTCTTTTGAATCGTACATACGAGATGAAAATCTGTGCACGAGATAAACAATTGTTCCCAATAATGTTGTCGCATCAATTAAACTGTCGCAATGGCGCTTTTTCTGAGTTTTAAACAGAATGTAATGCTTTTTCGCTCCATGCTGATTACGTAACAACGCACCTCTGACTAGGTTAACACAATGGCGGCTTGTTTGTTGTCTGCTTATCAAGCGACGATGAAAAGTTGCCAGATCATAGACAAAGGTTGCCTCTTAGGATTCCATGCTATAATTCATAGATGGAATTTGTGTCTTGGCCATAATAAAATCATTCCTTATTCTCCGACCTTGTAGAAGGCTGAAAGAATTGGAGACAACAGAACGTCACACCCCTACAACATAGACCAGCGCGTGTGAAAGGTCATCAAACATGAATAAAAGAGCAAGAAATCTCGTTCGACAACGAGACGTCAGTGTTTGAGGTGGAAAACGTTACTAGCACCGAGTTTAGCTAAGCTGTCTTGGGACGTTTGGCTCTCTTGCATTGACCACTGTAGTGTCTGAGCCGTGTCGCACCGCTCCGCTTGTCGTTAACTGTACTTGTTGTGCTCCTCATCTGACCAAATTAAATCATGCAATGTGCTGCGCATCAGATTTTTGGAAACATAACAATTCCATTAGTGTATACAGCCTATTTATAATTATATCTTACGGAATTCGCTGGCATCAAAGGCAAACCTTAGCCGTCCGCAAGAAACACTGTTGGGTACACTAGGAAGCGACCAATCACAAGTGGAGCAGTGCCCACATTCCGCAAACAGACGGCTGTGTAGGATTAGATAGCGGGAAATTGTTTTGTGTATCTTCAAAGAAAAAAAAAAAAAATCTTTTTTCAGCTAACCACTGTCCGCTGATCCTACAGGAAACCCTCGATGACCCTATCTGGGGTAACAACCGATGGTTTGGGGACCTGTGACCCATGTACTGACAAAGTGTCCATTTTGCTGCCTTCAGGTATCAATCGTTCTTTCTAGAACCTGATATTCCGCGTGGTACCAACAACTTCCGGCAGTCGTGCATTAACGGGGAGACAAGTCTTACTTACACTAGGACAGGGGAATGCAATCTAAAATTATTGTTCTTTTCAGGGAAGACCAGATCCATTGGTTTGGTTGGCAGCTGGTCTATAAGGGAAGCTCCGACTGGCGGACAGACAGAACATAACTCCATATTCATACAAGACTGAAAGAGGCCTACCAATAACAATACTGCGGCTGCTGCTACTGCTGGTGATGCTGTTGCTGCTGCTGCTGCTGCTATTGTTATGTTTGAATGTTCTCATTTCTAAAGTTGTGTTCGAAATGTTATTTTTACTGGGAAACATGAAACAATCAAAACAATAGAATTGAACATAAGGATAGGAAAATACATACATACAGATATGGATAGGAAAATACATACATACACGTATGGATTTTATATATCCAAGTGAAAAATATAGATGGAAAAAATTTCATAGGAATATGCATATAAACAATAGACACAAACATAAAGACTCAGGAATGTAGACATAAAATATTTATAGTAATATGGGTATGAGCATATGGGCAAGATACTTAAGATATGATCATATGACATAAACTCACTGACATAAACATTAAGTCTAGAACATTGAAATATTGAGATATATACATTTCACACTGTCAATTTATGCATAAGAAAATAGAGAGAAACGTGTCGACAATAAATAAGCATAGAAAAGACAATGTTCAGACAAAAATAGAGACACTCGACCACAAAGCCGATGAGAACGTTTAGCAAGACATAATGATCTTTGTTTCGTTTCCAAGATACAATTTTATTCGGGAATTCTCGTCATTGACGTTTGGTACTTATTTTCAAACTCAATAGTTGCATGTCCGGCAGAGCTATTTTAGCTGAAAATCTCTGAAATAGAATTAAAAACAGACAGGAATAATTAAAATTAGTTAAAGATAAGAAGGAACTTCAAATTCCATAAATCTCACAAGAACAGTCTTATCCATCTAATGGTGTCTCTCTCTCTCTCACCAAAGGGCATTAATGTTTAGCACAGATGTATCCGAAAATGTTAATTTTACTACTTTTGCTAATATATGGGTATGAACGTATCTGATTCTACTTCTGTTTGTGTAAATGTATACATAACCGTGTTTGTATCCGTGTTTATGAGTGTTAATGTATGTATAGGTTTATATGTATGTGAGCGTGTATGTATAATTTACGAGTGCGTATGTTTCCAAACGAGCGTTCGTATGTATCTGCATTATGAAAGTGTATGTACGCGTATGTAATTGTGGGCGTGTATGTTGGCATTGTGTGTGTGTGTGTGTGTGTGTAAGTTTGAGTGTTTGTATGCATTTCTGTATGAGACTCTAGGTTTGTGTTTTATGAAAGTTATGTGTGGATTGATGGATTTGAATATGCGTGTGTGTGTGCGTGTGTGTGTGTGTATTTGAATGTATGCGTGTACTATCCATGCTTTTGTGTATTTTATTTGATGCATATCATTATTTGACCAAACATGGTAATAAAAAAAAAAAAATATAGCTCATGTCATCTCAGTAGGAAAAATAAGTGTTTACAGAAGACGAATTTAAATTCTTGTAATTGTAAATTTGTACCTTTTCTGTAATGTGCTGACGAAAGCTTTCAACGTCTATTGTCCGTTCGTGTGAAGTTGACTCGTTTCTTTTGTTTTTCTCATTTCTAGTTCTAGCTTTTCCAGTTAGAAAAATGCATGGTCTGTCAACCATAGATAAAGACAAAACAGGCAGTCTGTCGCGACCGTTATTTACCTCTGCTGCATGTATCCCGATGTATATGGCGATTGGCACAGGGGTTCTCGCAATGTGCATTAACGATGTCCTGTTCTTAAGCTGGGCATTAGAATTACACTGTTGCTCTTATCTGGCCTAGGAAACCACTGTTCAACCAATCCAGTCTATATCGGTGTCAAGGACCTGATATCTATACTATTGAACTAGGGCTCGCTGTACGGCCCTGTGACAGACACACTATACCAAAACACACTCAACACATACACAAATGAAGCACACACATCATCTTTAATGACCAAAGAACAATATAACCTAAAACAACCTCTACAGTTATGGACAGTCCCCTAATCCGAAACTCTCGGGCAGTGGCGGCAGTTATATTTACCTATCCACCCCGGGCCATTCCCATGGATGAACCAAAGGACACGATTCCACCTCCTGTAGTGCAGCGCCAACTAGGCTACGATCTTCGCCATGCGAGACTCAGTGGCACACGCAGGGTGAGTGGTTCAAGTATTAGCGGACAATGTCAACGACAGCACAAGACGCAGATAACCCCCAAAAATCCAGGGACAAGAACACCTACCTAAACATGGTACAACCCCCTAGTCTTAGCATACTATCAGCACACGAGGAATAACAACAGCTAACCAACACATACGACGACAGCGTTAACACTACACAACCTATCTGTCAATTCCTAACAAAAAAATACAATCACGTCTCTCAAAATGTCCTCATCCTCACACGTCCCTTTTCTCTCTCTCCTCTCTCCGTTCAGCTCCGGTTCAAACGTGTACGTTGCACCAGTGTTCAAGCATCCCGGGTTTTCCCCGTATCATCAAATCAACTGGCTGAGCGCTGGTGCACATTTTTGGTCCGTCAAACACCAACATGTAGTTACACGACGTAATGTCTATACTCTGTCCCACACGGCTATGACAATCGGCGCATCTATCACATTAATGGCATACAGAAGGTCTCATACCTAAACAGGCATATTATTTTTAATGAATACCCATAAAAAGAGACAGATGCAAGCACAAATAGGCAAACACCAACAAAGGACAGAGAACAAGGCAATGAGACAAATATGAAAGCACACAGACCCATAAATATATAAATTTGACCGACACTGGCGCAGACACACATAGACAGACAGAGAATACAGACAAACCGGCAGACATAAACACAGACAGACCGCTGTCGCATGACACTGCTGCACATCTAAGCCTGCCACTAGGACATGTACAGTTGAAGCAATAGTTGATAGGACCATTTATCTTGTACAAAAGACCATCACTGCACTCAATGCCCTGCATGTGGCTAATGTCTCCTTCGTTTTCTGGCAAAAGAACGGAGTACGTCTTTATAATCAACATCATTATTACCAACAACAACTGCAACAAGAACAACATCACCATCATCCTATCATCGTAATGCCATCATTACATTATCATCATCACCACCACACATCATCACCACACATCATCACCACACATCTTCACCACACATCATCACCACACATCATCACCACACATCATCACCACACATCATCATTACACATTATCACCACAACACATCACCACAACACATCATCACCACACATCACCAACATCACATCATCATCATTGCTACTATTATTACACACTGACAATTACATTGTCATCTCACTTGCAACACCACAATATCATTACGACGACCACCACACATCATCACCACACTTTATCACCACACTTTATCACCACACTTTATCACCACACATCATCACCACACTTCATCACCACACATCATCACCACACTTTATCACCACACATCATCACCACACTTCATCACCACACTTCATCACCACACATCATCACCACATTTCACCACCACACATCATCACCACACTTCATCACCACACATCATCACCACACTTTATCACCACACATCATCACCACACATCATCACCACACTTCATCACCACACATATCACCACACATCATCACCACACTTCATCACCACACATCATCACCACACCTTATCACCACACATCATCACCACACTTCATCACCACACATCATCATCATCACACATCATCATCGCCACCATTATTACACACTGACAATGACAGTGTCATCTCACTAGCAACACACATCATCATTACGACGACCACCACCATCATCGTCATTATTATCACAACGTACCCATTTATCCTCACAACCACCATCATTACTATCATCACCATTATCATCACTTTAACTGCTATCCTCATTGTCGCATCATCATTACCATCACTACCATCAGTATTTTCATCGTCAGATTTATTATTATCGTCAGCGCGATTGTCATAGAAAAAAAAAACCCGACTCTATACAAATTTATTTTGATATATCGACTACAATTATATTTTTTTCCGTTCATAACTCGATCATGCTTATATAATCTGTTTGAATTTTAAATGAAGATCATTATATGAAAAAAGACATGTCATTGAAGGTAGGAAAAGAATTCTCGCAAGCTATATAGAGCCAGTTTTAAAAGCGCATTTGAAGCCTGGACAAATATAAAGAAGCGGAAAAGTATCTTAACTCTTTGAGTCCCAAGAAACGCATTTTCCGTTCACAGGTTACTGCCTAGAAGCTCAATGAACGCATAATGTGTAGATTTTACGTCTTTCTTGACTACCCCTTGGGCATGTGATGATAAACCCTCCAGGACTCAAAGAGTTAAGGTCTCGGAGATGTGGTTTTACAGAAGAATCCTCAACAGTAGTTTCTTGCACTCCGAGAAGAGTGGGAAGCCATCCCACAACAAAAGATCCAACAGCTCATCAGATCAATGCTGAAGAGATGCTGTTGTCTTAGAGACAATAGAGAAGGCCATGCACCCTACTGAAACTGAAGTCGCATCATCAAAGAATAAACGTGCAAACTAAATGTAATGAACATCAATGCATTATCGTGAAGTTTCTATATGTCAAGACCAAAACATTTATTTCGTCAAATAGTTTTTTTTTTTTTTTTCAAGTCTGAAGTAAGCTGTCTATTACAACAGCAAGAGTGTTTCGTTTTTGTTTATCAACAGTATAGTTACCCCGTGCCACGACTCCAGCCTCGGACATGGCTGCCACAGCCAGCAGTAGAACCATCACGTGCAGCATAAACATCTCTGATTGGTCGCCGAGAGTAGATCAAACTTCAGTCAACACTCGCTCAACAACTTCTACCACTGGCTGCTTTTTTGTAGTTTTTATACTGTTTCCTTGTCAGCTGCTTCTCCTGGACTGTTTATTTATCAGTGGTTCTAAAAATGTTTGATTTGTGACTCGACTTTCCGGAGGCAAAGTATCTCCAAGCTCGATATATTTAAAAATAGCTTTTTAATAGGGTACATGAAAACACTTGTAAACAAGATCTTCCACTATAATAAAGTTAACATTACTGCTGTTGAGTTTCGGTTAATACTAGCATCGTTTCTTTGTAGACATTTATTCTTTTATTGTTTTTGTTTCAGTTGAAGAATGTTGAAATCCGCTCTCGCAAATATACATCTACAATCAAAGGAAAGAAAAGCACGCATGCGTGGTGAGATTTTATTGTGACCTATCCACATCCGTAATTACCTCAGCTACAAAACAAATACCTGAAATAACATTTACCTTATTCACATGTCTGCTATTGTGCGATAAATATGACATACTTACTTAAGTGATTTTGATGACTTGAAAATGTAATGATGGTCCACCAATAATGACTGCGTAAGTTGAGGATGCAATACATCATATAAAGAAAGGAAAAGCCCCCAGGCCAGACAACATCTCACTGAAAGAAATCGAATCACTGGGAGATTTTGGAATTGAAATAATAACTAAACTTTTAAATGATATTTATAATGGTGAGTATATTCCAAATGACCTTTTAAAATCCATATTTATAGCTCTGCCTAAGAAACCAGGCACTATAAAATGTGAAGACCATCGCACAATAAGTCTTATGAGTCACATGACTAAGATTTTACTAAGAATAATTATGAGAAGATTAAGAAACAAAATTAAACCAGAAATCAGCGATGAACAATCTGGATTTGTAGAAGGAAAAAGTAGAAACAATGCCATATACATCCTAAGGACATTGTCAGAAAGAGCTATAGAAGTAAAGACTGATTTGTACATATGCTTCATAGACTATACAAAAGCATTTGACTGTGTGAAGCATGAAGAAGTAATCAAACTGTTAGAAAAATTAAACATTGATTGGAAAGATCTACGAATAATAAAGAATATGTATTGGCAGCAAACAGCAGCTGTAAGAATTAACAACTGTTAATCAGGCACTTTTCAAAGCATAGAGAGGGGCGTACGACAAGGATGTGTACTGTCACCTGATTTGTTTTCAATATACAGTGAATATATAATGAGAGCTTTAATTGGTATGCCAGGAATTGTGGTTGGTGGGCACAATATAAACAATTTACGTTATGCTGATGACACAGTCTTGATAGCAACAAGTCAGAAAGAACTACAGGAAATGATAAACATTGTGGTGTTAGAAAGTGGAAGAATGGGCCTCAGTTTGAATAATGGGAAGACAGAAGTAATGGTGATATCAAAGAAACGAATTATTCCTAAGTGTGTAATAAAAGTTGATGGTGTTATTTTAGGACAGGTACAGAAATTTAAGTATCTGGGCACATGGATAACATCAGATGGTAGATGCATAACTGAGATAAGAAATAGAATAGGACAGGCAAAAACTGCATTTTATAAAATGAAAAATATCTTGTGCAATATATCCTTGTCATTGAGAGTTAGAAAATTAATTCTTGCTTGCTACATACATCCAGTTTTAACATATGGCTGTGAATCCTGGACAATCGGTAGGCAGGCCAAACAATTTCTGGAGGCCTCGGAGATGTGGTTTTACAGAAGAATGCTTAGAATACCTTGGACAGCCAAAAAGAGCAACCAAGAGGTTTTGAAAGAGGCGGGAGCCCAAAGTCAACTTATTACAGACATCAGAAGGAGACAGTATTCATTTTTCGGCCATGTTATGAGAAGAGGGAAAATAGAACATGTGACCACTGGAAAGATATGT